TTATTTCCCCCCAAAAAAACCAAACTCCTTTGAATTCGAGATCAACTTTGTGATTCAGTAGTAAAACGTCTATGTATTTTTCATCCTGGAAAAGCTAAAGAAGAAACACAACCCACCCATTCATATTCTGACAAACCAAAGGTCCAAAACACAAAACAATATAAATAAAAGCTTGCAAGAATGTGAATCGATTACTTAGTACAATATGGCTAATGTTTTTTGAGCATAAAGAAAACTAAAAAAATGTTCCTAAGTTCCTAATATTAACAGAATGTCATGAGTGTGAAAGGGACAGGTCAAATGAAGAGCAGCTGAATGATACAGTCAAGAAGGGCCCAGCACAAAGTCAAAAGATATAATGAGAGGCCAGTGGATATTCCAAAAGTCAACCAACCTTAAACATTAAATTAATCTAAACTAAAGTGATGAACCTCTGTAACACAAAGCTATCAGTACAACCAGTTGCCAGCCTTTCAAAATTGTCCGAGCTACATGACTCTGTGTTACCAAGATTCATTTGCAAACAAATCGTCAAAAAAAAAAAGGCTCGTTCGTAATAAACATTCACACCCCACTCCGAAAGCAATTCGGCAATTAGATTAAGTGGGAGAATGATGGTGTGGCTTAATCCTAAAAAAGAAGCTTTGAGATTAGATTCTCGACTTGTCGTGAATGAGTACGCATACCCTTTTTCCCAATCATGCCAGTGTGCATGTTAAGAGAACATGAGGGAGACGTGCACTGTGCATGTTAGGGTACATGAAAAGGAGACTTTGTAGGTTAGAACTAACATTTAAGGTTGAGCTGCACAAGAAGCTCATGTTCTAATATTATTATCAATTAATTAGAGGATGAGTAGCTAAATAGTAAGCATTTTAATTTTCAGACGACTTTCATGGACTGCTACTCTAGTTGTTACAGATAGCAGGTACCGATTTGGCCATCATAAGTTCACTTATCTATATTTTTTCCCCATCTGACTTTGATTCAATCAAATAGTTATTTTAATTAGTCAGAAAATCTTGTTTGTAAATTGCATAAATTGTTGATCTACATGGGAAAATTAAAAATGTTTTTCCTATTTGGTCAACTCCTGACAGAACTTAACAAGTTCACTGTGATGGTCTACACCTAGGGAAAACATAAATAAAAGAAAACCTTTTAAGCTGTTACCAAAACTCAGAAGTTAATAATACCAACATCAACCAAAAAGAGAAGACAAGATAAAATGATCGATGGGCCATATAACAGTTTGAGGAGATTGCACAAAAAAAAGCATATGAGCAATCAACCAAGATAGCAACTGGCTGTAAGCAAATTGGGGTATTATGAAGGTCAAGCTAAGAAGTTTATGTTACGAAGCTTAAGTTAGTATACATTACATTTATTAAGGCCCATAAATCAGGCTGTGATTAGGCCTCTGTTACTCAAAATAAAGTTCTGGAAGAATCATAAAAGGCAACAAGTAGATCCTATCCTTGATTATAATATTTCCTTTCTAGAATGATTTTATTCCTTCTTTGTAATCTTTTTACCGTTGGTCATATCTCTATAAGAGACCTTGTATAGTTAGGAATAAGACAGCTTGTGTTCTTTGTTCCTTTGTATTTTCTTTAATAAAAATCTCTTTCTCGAGACATCCCCTTCCCTTTTATCTTGGCATCAGAGCCAGTGAACACAAGCACCAAACAAAATCCAACCAATCAAGAATTCCTTATCTCTAAACGTCGGCAACTTCATTACACTCAAACTCACTCCAACAAACTACCCTCTATGGCGAGAACAAGCTTTAGCCCTTGCTGAAAGCCAAGAGCTGGTTGAACATCTCACAGACGAAATCTCGACACCATCAAAATTTACCACTCCAAATAACCCTTCAGAAGCCGAACAATTCACACCACAATTAACAAAAGAGTTCGTCGCTTGGAAAAAAGCTGACCGCCTTTTGCGGGGTTGGCTGATTGGTACATTATCGGAAGAAGCACTCGGCTTGGTCATTGGAATAGATACAGCGTTCGGTGTCTGGGAAGCCCTCAAAGATGCCTACGCACAAGACTCTCAAGAGAGAGAATTCACACTGAGGCAACAAATTACATATCTTCGTAAGAATGATGACAAATCCATTGCAGACCATATTCGTACTTTCAAAGGTCTGTGTGACAATTTAGCAGCCATTGGAAAACCTGTTCTTGACAAAGAGAAGGTATTTTACTTGCTCACTAGCCTTGGCCCGCAATATGAAAATTTCACTACCACTATGTTGAAACCTCCCCGGCCCACTTACACTGAGCTAGTGGCACAACTACAAAATTTTGACCAAAGACGTAGTTGGATGAACACCACAGATATCGGCATCAATTCATTTAATACCCAAATGGCTTTCTTCGGACAACACCAAAAACGTCAAGGAGGCCCCTCCAAGTTCACATCATCAGGACGAGGTTTTATAGCACAACAACCAAAAAATCTCTCTCATTCTGGAAAATTCAGCCCTCAACCAAAAAAACCACCACCTCCTGGACAACGACGTATGTCGCAAACTGAAAGAGATCTTTATCGAGATGAGACGTGCCAATATTGTGGTGTAACAGGGCATATTGCAAAAATTTGTTGGTGGATTCCAAAGCCATCAAAGGGGTCAGATGACTTACCACATGCACTGGCTGCCCTCACATTGGATACTACTGTTGCTGATAATGAATGGACGTCTGATACTGGTGCTTCCAACCATATGACAGGTAAGTCAGGTATTTTATCTGACCTTCAAAAAAATTGTGGATCAGACTCTATTTTAATTGGTGATGGTTCATGCTTACCTGTTGACGGAATTGGATATTCAGAAATTCATCAACATAACTTCCGTTTATCGTTAAATAATGTTTTATTTGTTCCAAATCTAAAGAAAAATTTGTTATCAGTTAGTCAACTAACTTCTGAATATCCTGTCAACTGTGAATTTACTGATAAAGATTTTTGTGTTAAGGACAGGCAAACAGGCCAACCATTGATAAAAGGAAGGCGTAAGGGAAATCTTTATGTCCTTTCCAATCAACCAGAGTTAAATTTCTCTCATCGTTTCAAGTCTGGCTCATCTAATATTTGGCATCAGCGTTTAGGACATCCACAACACTCTACTTTACTTAATCTCAAGAATAATAACCTTATCCATGTCACAGGCCCAACAAAAAATGAGCACATTTGTGATAGTTGTCAACTAGGAAAACTTAGTAAATTTCCCTTTAGCAATTCTGAGCATTCAAGTAGTGATCTTTTTGAAAAAATTCATTGCGACTTATGGGGTCCAGCTCCAGTTTTATCTCTTGGTTCCTTTCGTTATTATGCATGCTTTGTTGATGATTTTTCCAAATACATATGGATTGTTCCTTTACGATTGAAATCTGATTTCTTTGATGCATTTATCAACTTTGAACGTTATGTTGATCGACAATTTAACAAAAAAATCAAAATACTTCATTCTGATGGTGGAGGCGAGTTTGTCAATAAACGATTGTCGACACATTTTCTGTCTTCTGGTATTATTCATCATAAATCGTGTCCATATACACCTGAGCAAACAGGTATGGTTGAACGGAGGCATCGCATGATTCGAGAATTAGGCATGACCATGTTATTTCACAGTGGTGCTCCTCTATCTCTATGGGTAGAAGCATTCTCAACGGCTGTTTACCTCATTAATAGGTTACCCTCTTCCGCGCTTAATTTTAATTCTCCTTACCTCATATTACACGGCACTCACCCCACATATAGCTCTTTACGTGTTTTTGGTTCAAAATGCTTTCCGTATACTTGGGATACTCGGAAAAATAAGTTTCATCCTAAAAGCATTCCTTGTGTTTTTATAGGTTATAGTGACCAATTTAAAGGCTACAAATGTTTTCATCCACCGAGTAAAAAAATATATATCTCACGGCATGTGGTCTTTGACGAATTATGTTTTCCTTATAAAGACCGCATTCCTTTCAAAATTAACACTGATCGTGTGAATAATATTTTTGATTCTTGGTTACCTACAACTAACAATTTTTTTGTTCCAGACTCACCCTCCGGTAGTGCCACAAATGACTCTAACTTTATTAACATACCTTTTTCGCTGCCTCCAAATCCTACTCCAGATGCAACTCCAGATGCAGATCATCTCCATGATAGTTCATCCACGCCTACAAACACCACACAACCTGACGCTACACCCGCTTTGCCTAAAGCAAGTTCCAGCCAAACTTGTAATCCTACCCTACATAATTCACATATCTTACAGACCCTACATACTTCACCTATCTTACAGACTTCTTTGCCTAATGAGCCACAAATTCGAGTTTACCATCGTCGACCACGAGCTGTAGATTCAAGTTTACCCCCAACACCCCCACCACCATCCTCCGACGAACCTTATCCAGTTCTTTCCTCGTCAATTGAAACCGCCACCCAACCTCGTCACTCTGAACATTCTATGCTCACCCGGTCCAAAGTAGGTACCCTTAAGGCTAACCCAAAGTACGCACTAACCATGACTCTCTCAAGTACTGTCCCTCGAGAACCGACCAATATACGTGATGCTCTTAAACATCCTGGATGGTCTGATGCTATGAAAGAGGAACTTGATGCACTCAATCAAAATTTCACATGGTCTTTAGTTCCACCATCCACCAATATGAATATTATTGGATCAAAATGGGTGTTTAAAACAAAATTAAAACCGGATGGTTCTTTAGATCGACTTAAAGCTCGTCTAGTAGCTAAAGGTTATCATCAACAAGATGGAATTGATTATAATGAAACTTACTCACCTGTCATCAAACCCAGGACAATTCGGTTGGTGCTAACTGTTGCACTCTCTAAGCAATGGCAAATCCGCCAACTGGATGTCAAAAACGCCTTTCTCCATGGACAAATCTCTGAAGCTATTTATATGCAGCAACCTCCAGGTATGAAAGATTCCAAATATCCTCATTATGTTTGTAAACTTCATAAAGCACTATACGGCCTCAAACAAGCACCTCGTGCTTGGTTTGATCGTTTCAGCACCTTTTTAATAAAGTATGGTTTTTTTTGCAGCAAAGCTGATCCTTCCCTTTTTATTCTACATTCTTATCATGGCACACTTGTGTTATTATTATATGTTGATGATATTCTTCTTACAGGATCCAATATCTCCTTAGTTAATTCTTTTATTAAATTACTCAGTCATGAATTTGCTATGAAAGACCTTGGTGAACTTCATCATTTCCTAGGCATTGAAG